GGAGTTATGGTTCCACTTTTTTTTGGTTGGCTTGACGAGGGAGACCTCCACTCGTTAAAACTTAAAAGAATTTATTTCTTGTTCAGAGACTTTGTTGCTTTGCTTCTTGACATGTGCAAAGGGAATTTTTCTTATGTCGATTAACCAATATTGTTAATTTAGTTAGTGAGAGAAAAATAGTCTACTTAGCAGATTGGTAGTAGTATATGATGGTATTCATGGTAACCTTCCATTTATTTTGGAAAACTTGTGTCAGTATTTCACTTTTTTGGGCTGCAGCATTCAATTTTCTCTTTATTTTATCTTCAGACTGGCCAGCATTGTTGTGAATCAATCCATCTGCTCAGCTGAATAAGAACATATGGAGCTTCCTTGTAGCAAGATTTTCCAGGTACGATAAACCAGGGCATTGCAGATACCACCATGGATGGCTGTTTAGAACCCATAAAGAATTCCAATGATCAACAATCTCTAGGAACTTCTGGTAACATGTTGCGCCAAATAAATGCAAGTACAAATCTGCAAGACAAGCCCCAATCAAGAAAGCCTAGTTTGTCCTATGCTGATCTACATCATGAGATTACAAGAAATGTAAAAGATATCCCATCTAATTCTGTTGGGAACCACCAAAAGCAGCGGATTAATAGAAAGACAACTGCTGAAGAAGAAATTGTTAGGCACATGTCAAATTTGCCAAGTTATCTTGAGAGAGGAAAAAACCTTCAGGAGAAAGTTTTAAATGTCGGGGTCCTAGACTGGGGGCGCCTAGAAAAATGGCAGTGTAGCCATAAACAGATGCCATACAGAAATAGCCGTTATTCACCGTCCAGTAGTAATACAACCTCATGTTTTTCGACGGATGGATCATCAACCCATTCCAGCCGAGGTCACAGCTGTTCTCCTGCTCGGCCAAGGATGCACCGTCATTCACTGCAATCTCATTTCACGAAATCTCCAACAGAAGGCCATTCTGAAGTTGTCAGCTCTTTTGGAGAAAGGGTTGAAAAGTTTCAAGACCTTAAAGCTGACCAAAGTAGCACCGTGAATGGGCCGGAAAAGTTCATTGGAACAGATACATCTTTATGCAGAAGCCGCATAGACATGAAGGTGGAACAGTGCAAGAGTAAAGATTCAGATGCAAAGTGTGAGCCAGAAAAAAGAAGTTTGTGGAATGGCCCACATTTGGAAATGGCAGCTCATTTAAAGGTAAAGAAAAAGACTCAAGTTGGTGAATTTATTCAGAAAGCAGAGAACTTACAGAAACCATATTCAGAAAATTTTGAATTAGACATTCCTGAAGGATGCAAGAAAGTTGTTCTGCTTTTGCCTAGAAATTTTCCCGAAAACAATCACTCTGGGGTTTCCCACCTTTCTGATTCAACAACACTGCTTCATCAAAGAGCAGAGAAAACTACTCGAGCAAGCTCTTCAGAGAGACCCAAGGAGGCCTGCCATGCAGAGCTCAATTCTGATTTCCCACATTCGTGCCATTTTCCTTCTGAAGTTGAAAGTAAACACTCTCGGGTAAAACACCTTGGCTCCACAGATGGTGCGACTCTCAGATTTCAATCTAATACACCTAGCTCAGCATCATTGTCATCTACAACAGGAACTCACCCACACAGAGGCAGAAATGTAGAAGAGAAAAAAGTAGCAGTAGTGTCTACATCTTCTTCAACTGTAAGTGAGCCTTATAAAGGATTGGATCTGAAACCAAGCAAAGCAACTGCTGAAAAAGTAAGAAACACTTCACCTTTTCGCCGATTTAGCATTGGTGTGGGTAAGATGAGTAAGAATACCAGTTCTAAGGACTGTTTAGATACACAGCAGCTGAGCTCAACAACTTTTTCAGCTAAACCTGGTTCAGAGAACACTGCGACTTCCACATTCTTAGGTGCTTCAGATGGTCAAAAGTCCAATGCCACTGGCAGATCCAAGTCCCCTCTGAGAAGGTTACTGGATCCACTGCTGAAGTCAAAGGTGGCAAACTCCCATCACTTAGTGGAGCCATTAGAGAAAGATTCCATATTGTCTGAGGGGCGGGTGGATTCTTTGTCCGAGCAGCCAGGGAAGGTAAAATTGGGTATGACTGGTTGTAGGACAATTAATGTCAATGAGCCAGTGAAGGCCAAGAAGTGTGGATCATCTGCAGTTCAAGCTCTTCTACGAGTTGCAGTTAAGAATGGCCTGCCCCTGTTCACATTTGCTGGTGACAATGACATCGACATCCTTGCAGCCACGATGAAGAAGCTAAATACCTTGAAAAAGGGTGACTGCAGCTGCATCTACACATTTTTCAGTATCCGGGAAGTCAAGAAAAAAGGTGGAACTTGGATAAATCAAGGCAGCAAAGGCAAGAGTCATGACTACGTCCGTAATGTTATTGCTCAAATGAAGGTCGCTGATTCTCAGTTTCCCAATTTGGTTAGACCGGATCACTTTAGCATGAGAGAGTTTGTTTTATTTTCTGGAAACCTAAGACAGGCAGATTGTGAAACCTCAGACTTCCAGCCAAGTGATGAGCTTGCTGCTGCTGTTGTCAAAATCCCCAAAAAGGTCAATCAGCAATCCACCGGAGATTGGCATCATTGGGATAACTGTAGTAACTTGCCTGCGGTTGGTTCAAAAGAGTGTTTGTCAAGGGTGAGACGCCATTCTTATTCTGGGGAAGCTGTAGAGAAGCCTTTTGTTGGTGGTCAAGGCCTAATTAGCACAACAGTCATACTTCCAAGTGGTATCCATAGTCTACCAAGTAATGGGGGACCATCATCACTGATTGAACGTTGGAATTCAGGTGGATCATGTGACTGTGGAGGTTGGGATTTGGGTTGCAAACTTAGGATATTTGACAATCAGAATCCAGTCAATGAGAAAGTGAAATCACATAAGGTTTGTTCCATCACAGATCGGTTCGAGCTTTTCCCTCAGGTATAGTGTTTTTCTTTAGCCAGGGTGATATATAATTTTCTTTTCTTTTCCATGTTATTCTGAAAGTTACCAACTAATGTCACCTTTTGTTTTCATTACATATCCACAGGGAGGTTTACAAGAAAACCAGCCTACTTTCAGTATGTCCCCATTCAGGGATGGTATCTATTCAGTTGAGTTCAGTTCTTCACTCTCAATCTTACAAGCATTCTCCATTTGTATAGCAGTATTAGATAGTTGGAACTTATGTGAGTTCTCGGAGTCAAGGAACTCGTTAGAAGAAAAAACTTCTGGAGAAAGCATATTAATGCAAAATGATGGATTAAGTGCTCCAAATCGAACGGAAGGGGAAGTTCCTGCAAGATATGTCTCATATCCCCCACTTTCTCCAGCCGGGAGGGTCTAGTTTTACCATGATTACCTCTTATAGTTACCATGTATCTTCATTTGGCTGGGTTGGATTTTAGATTCATGATCCCCGCGAAGATAACTGAAGTCTTGGATCCGCAGAGTACTTTAGATGTCAGAAGTAATATGAAGTGCATCAAATGTATTCTGAGTGGAACTGTTTCATCAATTTAAATGTGCATATAATGAGTGAATAGTATGTTATTTTTCACGTTGAATTTTAATAAACTCAATTTCTGATGGGAATATTGGAGAATAATGATCCAATTCCTCCAGTATTGGGGTGCAAGCCCCTCCTTGAAATGGAAATATGAGGCCTTGCAGGCTGTTTATTTTCCCTCTTGGTTACTCATTTGGTGTGCATTTTCCACCTGCATTGTTTTTCCATGCCTGATTCAACAGATTTCTGTACATCAAAGGGATGTCTCTCAAACTTTCACACGAGCGTCCTTGTACACACGTACACACACACGTAGAAGATACAAGTGAGCAGACATCAACTTCCATTGTAAGGCAATAATCAGGGGGTCCCTGCATAAAATCTTTGCTGTGAAGCAGCTCCCAATTATGGAAATTGCAACAACAAGATGCCCTACAAGGCTAAAACAGTGAGTTAGAATGCCAGGAGTGCCCTCAAGGTGGGGTGTATTGATTGTTGGGTGCTCTAGGAGAAATCTTATCAGAGTGGCTTTCTTTGCGGCACCTTTAAGGAACACTGGTTTGCGTCTTTTTGAATGCAGTACAAAGCTTAGGAGGAAAGCCAAAAGCGAATAGGAGGACGTCTCACATCACATATATATGATACATTTACATTGCGTGGGAATTATGACACTACTATATAGCATACATTTCCAATATGGGTTGTATTTGGTCATTATGCATTGCATCTTAGACTCACCAAATGGTTATGTACCTTGCCTTTGTTAATGGAGAGCAACTCAAATTAATACGTTAAACTGGGGAAAATGGATTAGGGTTTTTTAACTCTGTTATTCGGGATGAGATCTTTACCTTCTTTTTTCAGTTGGACAAAGTTGAAATTCTTCATACTTATCGAGAAGCTAATACGGTACTAGATACTCTGGTCAATAAATGACATAAATTTACACAACCTTATGATTGGTTTTCTAAATTTTCGTTTATTGTAGTTGTAAAATTTCGTTTTGATTTTCGGAAATTCCTCCCATTGTGATTTTTATACAAGTTATATTGGAGGAGAATGATTTTTTCACACACACTGCCAATGTGCCATAAATTTCAAATCTAAAACCGTCGGTCTACAGTCAAGATCCTTTTTCATTAAACTAAACACCATTCTATTGTAGTTTATGTTGGACTTATCTCTCTCTCTTTTTTTGGTCAATTACATTGTGCGATAGAGTTGAAGAAATGAATTGGACCCATAATATAGTGGGTCCATCATCCCTGATATCGGGTTAAAACTTGTTTTCGAAAGTTGTAGCCGACATTTTAATAAAATAAAATAAAAGTTGTAGCCGACATAGGTTCTCCATCAGCTTGCCACGTGAGCGCGTTCCTTCTTTTCACGCTTATTGGACACGTCATGCAGATTTGCTGACTCTTCTTCAATAAAGAAAACCCAAGAAAAAAAGAAAAAAGTTTTGAAAACTTTTGTCCCAAGTATTTATTTTATATTTAATTAATTATTTGGTTTTCCCATCTCACTCCCCCCACTTGGAAAACCTTCTTTCTCAACTGCCACCTCCGAGACCGAGAAGACTGTGAGAGAGACAAAAAGAGTCACAGAGAGTTTTGAATTAGGTGAAATTCTGTTGCTGTAGATTAGATATAGATAGATTCCTATTGATCCCAAACCTAATTTTCGAATTTTGAAATCAAAACTCCAATTCCATTTTCTCTGCGAAATTTTTTTTTTCATTTAAATTTAAATTTATTATCACGTTGGACGATTCGAATTCCAATTTATAGCAGTTTATTTGGAGTTCTTAATGCTGATTGATGACGAGCTTTAACCTCATATCCCAAAATGCCGGTTATCTTTGCTCGTGAGGCTCCCAAGGTTACAATGAAGCCCGCCATTGCTGTTTTTGTTCAACTTTTTTTTTTCTTTTGACAAATTCCAATTTTCATTGATTTTTTGGTGTTGTTTGAAATGTGAAGCTATGGAGGAAAGTATGCGCAGAGACGTCAACTGAAATTTCGCTTCTTTCCGGGACTTGGAAGTATTTTCTTGCTGGTCTCGTTATTCAGGTTCATTTCTTTTTCTCTTTCTGCTTCAATTTTTTTTTTATAACTAGGAATTATTATTGGCAATTAATTTGTATTGAATGTTCATGTAACTTGTGAACTGCTGGAAGCTTATTCCATTGGAAAAAGTTAATTAGAAATTGTTTGAACTACATGATTATATGGAACTACTACTAGTCATAGTTGTTCTGTTTCAAGTTGGGCTTTAAACTTGAATTTCAATGCAGTGGATTGAATGGTGTTGGTTTAATTCACACTATTTGTTCTGCAAAGGTGTGTAAGCCGGAGAAGAATTATGGCTGATCTCAGTGATATGAAACCTTTCTGTGTTGGACAAAAAATTA